TCTTAAATATATTAATCTCAATATGTAAATATGTATATTATCTTTAAAAGAATAAATAAATAAAGTATGCTTAGATGTGTTTTTTTTATAAAAAAAAAAAAAAAAAAAACTAGCATGCGAAAGTAAAAACCCTATAAGAAAAACTTCATCAACTGGCTTAAGATAAAGAGGTCGAAACAGAGTCTCAGAGCATCATTTGTACAGATATCTATTGCATTCGAAGCATGTGTATACATGTGTTTGTTATCACGTTTCGATTTGGAAGATAAACAATATCAACTTGTTTAGTACATACGATGTTGATTATTTGGAGGAGGTAAGCTAAAATGTCTACTTTTTACAAAAATTTTCTTGAAAAAAAGTGGTGGATCAATGAGAGTGTGAGGTTCTTCTTGTAAGTTTTACAGTTGTCCAGCTTCTCTATTTTTACCACTTAGGAGTGCACATTGGCTACTTCTACAGACTTGTTCTCAGAATAAACCTTCTGGTTTGGATGCCAAATACTTTGAGGAGTCCGCCAGAAAGAAAACTTGACCTCAAAGAAAACCTTCTATATTCTTTTGATGCCTACTCCTCGGTATTTCATATCTATATGCTTAGACTTCATCGACAACAAGCTGCTTCTATTTATAGAACCAAGTTTTAGTATCTACTTCATCGCTTTTCTATACGTTTTGCTATAGTTCAATTTTTGTTGTTGTTAATCAGAGAATTGTTAGGAAGAGTTGTGTTGATTATTATTATATATATTGAACTTTACTATTTTGAGCTTTAGCTGTATTATGTATAGTTTTAAATACAAGTCACTCTCTTTATAGTGAACTCTTGATATAGTGAACCTTTTGTAATAGTGAAGAACAGTTTATATAAAAACCATCTTGATGTTGTGAATTTACTAAGAGATTTTCGATATAATGAAGAAAATTTCACAGCTCAATTACTTACTATAATGAGAGTGGCTTGTATCAAATATTTGGACATTAATTTATATAATAATTGTTTTTTTTATATATAAGCTTTTAAATTTATTATATAATTGAATTGATCTAATTATTGAGTTATTACATAAAAAACAGCTAGCTGTAAGAAGATTGAGAATTACAAATCAAAGATATATTTAGCAAACCAGTTCTCTATCTATTGGCGCTTCTACTTGGTGTCTAACTAATAAAGCTTTTAAGAAATTTAACTTTTCTGCTAAGAATATTTCAATTTATAATTTAGAAACAACAGAAGAAAGCAATAAAGACAATGATAATAAAGGTAATGATAATTATGATAGTGATGATAATAGTGATATGAGTAAAGTACCAAGAAGAAAGGAATCAAAAAAGCGATCAAATAAAAAAAGGAAAAAAAGAAAAAATCAAAGAAATATAGAAAATAATACTGTATAATTATTTTTTTTACATATATTATATTTTTCATAATTAGCAAAATAAAATAATAATTTATCATAGACCTATACATAAGTTTGGATTTTTTTTCTTTATCTACCAAAATAATGCCTTTGGGTGTTATTCTGAGTTTATACGGTATTTATAAAATATAAATTTGGAACTAGAAAAATTAAGTCAAAAAAAAGAAATCAGAAGCTACTATTGCTAAATATCAGTTTTTTTTGTACAATTCTTTTAGCTTTACTAATATATTTATATATATTTTTTAAGTTTATATAGAAAATACTGTTTCTGATAGTTTGTTGGTATTATTTCTTATAGGATAGAAAAAAATGATATACGTACTGTTCCTAATAGGGTTTCTTAAAAGAATCTCGGTGTAGTTTTTTATAACAATGCTTAGCTATAATAAGAATATTAATATTATGACCTGTAAATAACCAATAATACTGCCTCAACATTACCCAAACACTAATCCTTAATTAATAAGAACATTTGATGACAATATGCAAGTGAAATAAAGCAAACTTACCAAAAGGATTCTGGATAAGGTCAGGGTCATTATTCCTTTTCTGTTTATATCATTGTATAGCAAGCCTTTTTTTAATTATTTTAATTATTTTTTTTTGAGCATATTTTTCAATTTCGTTTTCACATTTATTTATTATCAAAAGTCAGCAAAGATGGGAGTATCAGTGGAATATATACTATTGACCTTATTGAAATAGAATCAAGGTTGAAAAAGATAAACATAATGCATTTATTTGTTAAGAGAAATTGGCAAAGATAGAATGTTAGATATTTATTCAAAGTAAGTGCACTCTTGTGGTTGGCCATAGTAATATTATAGTAAACATTATTTTTTTGCTATTACAGTTTATATATAGCAGAACATTTCATGATTCTTTTTAAATATTTGCATTCCTAGAGATTTCACATATTTACACTCCTACAAAAATGAAATGCTACAGTTACATTGTGTCATTCAATGATGGCAAACCTTCTTGAGATTGTATACATCTTTCTTTTGCATATCAAAAATTACTTCTGTTTATTTATCATTGACAATAGTCAAAATCTTTAATCTCTAGATCAAAACAGCTGAATCCTAGTGGTGGTTATTGGAAAAGCAGAGTTCATAAAGAGTGATTAGATAAGTCCTGGTGCAATAGTCATTGATATTGGAACCAATGCGATCATAGGTAATTAAAAATCTGATCTCTATAATTATCTGACTTGTTGACTAATTATTCATCTATTTATTAGATTTCACAAAAAAAACAGATATTCGATAGGTAGACAATATAGAATTTTCATTCACCTCTGTAGTAGTATCTCTGGTAGTATAGATTCAATAACAGTTGCAATGTTGTTACAAAACACAGTAGAAAGTACTAAAAGGTTTCTGAAAGAAAGTAACGAATGTAAGATATCTACATTGCCCTTGAAACCTATTCCAAGTGATATTGATATTGCAACTTTACAAACACCTAAACATATTAATGTTCTGGCTGAAGAATTGGGACTGATTCTGAATGAGGTAAGGCTTTTATTATACAATATTAAAAAATAACTTATATTAAATTGGTCTTTTTTAGTTTGCCTTATATGGGCAATACAAAAATCACAGTAAGTCTTTCATTTATTAAAAGGGTATGTGTTTGGAAATTGCAAGTTATCTCACTTTATAAAGTTTAGTTGTTAAGATCATTAATTATATTATTGAAATGTTTGTAGAATAATGCCAATACCAGATAAAAGCAAATCTACAACTACCATTAGTTTAGAACAAGCATTGGTGCACACTTGGAAAAGCTTTCATTCACATGTGTTAGGCAACCTTCACAAGGACCAGCATTTGGCATCAAAGAAGGAGCATTTGGTGATGGATATGCTCAAGTTGACAAATTCAATTTATATTTAACAGAAGATATACATGCTGTTACAACCTGTTATGTAGTTTTATGCTTATGCTACCCATGTTTATTTTGCAACTAAATTTAATGAATTCTAATTCTTTCTTAACTGCTGCAATTGATGCACAGATGTTTCATGAAAATATCCAAACAGATAAAGTAATATAAAAATTAATTTGTATATTGAATTTGACAATTTATATTTTTCTTTTTTAATATTTATATATTCCATTATTTAGACTCTTTTCAATCGCTTATGCCCAGCTAAAAATAGTATTTATGTTTTTGCCTCTGTAATGTTGAAATGATTACAAAAGCTTGGAATTGATAAACCAATCCTAATAATTTAACCCCTGAAGAGATTAGCAAGTTTGTTAGGCTAGATATTGATCTTGAGACTATTATATGGTTTGTTATTATACATTATTGTCTGAAGGACATTACAGGCAGAGACATAGAGCAGAATTTTGCAAATTGCTGATTTTGATTAGTTAATTGGACTGATTCCTTAGTTTAATTAGCCAATCAAATTTCTTTGGACTTTAAATATCTTCTACTTATCTAGTAATATATTAATACTATATTAATTTGATACTAAAATGATATAGGCCATGAGTAATTAATACAAATGATCGATTCTTATGCCACATTACTATAACAAAATTCCACAGAAAAAGATCAAATGTGTTGACAGAGTTTGATATATGCAGGATCTATGGAGTGCAGATTAAAAATTAATTCCGCAAGTAAATCTTTTTTTTGAGTTTTTATTGTTGCTTACAAAATTATAAAGCTTTTTCTTATGATCTTGGAACTTGGACTGACTTATATATCATATATTCCAGGTAAGATTAGATGGATTAGCAGAAAAACTTGAATTAGGGGTTTAATTGAGTAACTCAAGTAATAGTGGGTTATAGATACGGCATCTAATGTAGAACCTAGTAATAGGTAGATACTTAATCAGATATTCAAAAGGTGCAAATATGGCTAGAATATATCCTCATCAGAATGTACTTGTCTGGGGCCCCTTGAAAAGGCTTCACATGATTTTATAAATTTAATAAAGTGGAAAGCCAAAGAGGCTAACCTTAATTACAAAAAAAATAATAAAGCTTTTTCTTATTAAAACAAAATCGAATTTTAACACTGGATATGAATGTATTTATGATTAGAAGTCAATGTATATAAGGCATAGACACACTTCTATTATCTCAAATTAACAAAAATAAGATATTTATCATATATTTATTAGAAATCAGCAAAAATGAGGTATAAAACATTGCTAGATTGTTATTTGTTTTTTGGCTAATCTACAAAATCAACAAATTGCAATAATAGATTGAAATTATCTTTATGTAAATAGCTATATGTTATTTTGAATCAAAAAAAAATAGAATTTTAAAATAATGCACTTCTGCATTATTATACACAAATATAATATTTAATTCAACTAGCATTAAAATTTTTGTCCTTATAATTAATATAATTTGTCTAAAACTAGAGAATAGTTTTTTGCAATTAAATAAAATTTTAATTTTAATTATTAGTTAGAGTTTATATTTATTTATGAAAAAATGTGCTTGTGAATAGCAGTAACAATCCTTTGTGTAATATATGATCAAAACAACATTAAAATAAACATAAATATAAATAAATTTATTGTTATTAGGGTTAGAGTATAAACACGTTTGTGGTAAGGAAAAAGCATAGTATAATGAGGAATTTTTTTTGTTAGTGAACAAAAGGTGGTTTCTTAGATATAATTTTTAGTTATTGTGAAATTTCAACAAACAGCATTTTTTGCTTCATTTGCATATTACACGATCAGGTGTAATGTTACATTTGATTTTGCATTCTTATTGGCACAGGACTGTCACTGCTAATGATAAATAGATTCACTCTTTATATAGTGCATATATTAGGTACATATGTATGTATATAATATATTGTAAAATCATATATATGATATATGCCCAATATGTATATGATATTTGTTTACAATTTATATCGGGTATATGATGTGTTGCAGAATTTATATATACGATATATACTCGACATATATAGGTTATATGTGTTACATATGTCTGACATATGTCTGATATTCTACATGAACTCTATACATATCGAGTATATGTATGAATATATCTTACACATATCAGGTACAAATCGTAGATATATATTATATATATCAGGTACCAGATATTATACTAATGTATATAATTTTGACCTGTGGAATCAATAAAAATAAAAATAATTTATATACAAGTAAATAAAATTCATACTAAAATCTACTTTATTTTTTATTTTTTTTACTATAATATTAAGATAACTACTTTGAGGTCTGACATATTTATTAACTTTAGTTACGAATTTCAGTGCAGCCACAGAGCCATCTCTGACTTTGTTATATTAACTAGAATATATTTTAGCTATACCTGCACCTTTTGAGTACTTAATTAAGTAGTTTCCTATTATTAGGTTCTATATTAGATAACATACCTATAACCTACTATTACTTGAGTTATCTAATTAAATCTTCTGATCAATTTAGCACTATTAAGACATTTTTCTCAAAGAGGAACTGCCACTAAGATCCTTTAGGATTACTTTATTTTCATAATAAACCTACTAGAGCAGTCCATATTTTATACATATATTATCTAAATTTTTAGTAACTTATGACTAGGCTATAGTCAAGTACTTGTGTCATTTCTTTGCTATCATTACTTACTCTTTGCCTTTGCAAAGTTTATTTACCAACAGTGCATCAACTCCTAATCCAGATAGCCCAGAAAGGGACCAGTGGGCATCTCCTTGATATTCTAATTGAATCCTTTTTTCTTGTTTATATGGAGCCACCTCTGTATATACATGGCCTAGTTGGTATTAGTGTTTGCCAAACACCTGATCCTCATCCAGTTTACTGTTGGTGTCCAATTGCAAATGATTGTCCTTTACATAATACTGTTAAAGATCTGTGCTACCTCTCTACTCAGGACTTGCCAAGTAGGATTCTGTGTACTCCAACTCTTGGATTTGCACAACTGTTTCACTCAGATTTCATATAACTTATACATTATACTATAGTTCTACGGTTTTCTAGTACAAGCTGATATAACCAAAGCTATAGATTTAATGATCTATCAGATTATACATAGTCTGCTATAACACATTCTGTAAATTCAAATTTCATTGCTAGTAGAATTTGAACTCTTGTTCTGCCACTTGGGGTGTGACAACTCTAAAATCTACTTTATAATAATAATATAAAATAATATAAAATAAAACCTTGTAAAAATTTAGAATAATTTAAAATATTTATCTTAAAATGCTTTATAAAGATTTATGCTTAAAAACATCACTTAGTGAAATTCTGATTTATAAACTACTACTATAAAATTATTAGATTTACTATATTTTATCATAAATAAATAGATATACCTTATAACTATAATATAATTATTAGAGTATAAAAGACTATTTGTAATGATATTTGAAAAAGAGTAAATTAGTACAGAGATAATTTAAAAAACTCTTTCCAGTTCACTTCCAGAAAACATACTCGAATCAAAATTTTACATTTTTTATCTTTGATACCTCTAACAAGACAAGGACCTTAGTGTCCAGAAAGCACTAACTTATTACTCTAGACATGGGTAAACAACCAAATAATAAGAAGGCCAGACTTTCTTCAGATAACAGCAAAATTTTCAACTTTGTAAAAGTTGAAGAAAACAAAGAAAATACTATAGATCTAAACAACAACAATGATAACAATAACAACAGCAGCCTCAAGACAGAAGTAAATGTGCCAACAAATATAAGCCTTAACAAGCTTGATAATAACTGGCCAGTCAAGTTAAAAAAGAACAAGCAACTGCAGAAAACAACAAGAACGAAATTTCTTGTAATCAACAAGAAATATATGTAGTTAATCTTTTAAGAACAACTGACCACGTAAACA